TATTTATATAGCGCCAAATTCACAACACATGTCATCTCAAGGCACTTTACAGTTCAACCAGATCAAATTGATACAAAGTTTTCTATCTAAGGAAAACCAGTTGATTGCATTGACTCATTGACTCAAATACAATCCCCCACACTAAGCATGCTTGTAGCGACAGTGGAGAGGAAAAACTCCCTTTTAACAGGAAGAAACCTCCAGCAGAACCAGGCTCAGTGTGAGCGGCCATCTGCCGAGGCCGACTGGGGTTCAAGGAGACAGAAGCAGAGATACAAAAAGCAGCTGTAAAAGGCGGCCCCGTCCAGGAAACACACAGCCAGGCAGACGAGCTCCAAGGCAGCTCCCATGCCAGAGGACGAAGAAAGCACATCCACTCAGTCACGGTCAGAGAAACAGGACCACACTGGAAAACAGGCCGATCTCCAACATCTATAAACAAGGGTGTTGATGGAAGCAGCACAGCTGATGTTTCTTTCCAGGATGACGTCACAGCCAAACAGGAACAGACGAGGCAAAGCTACTCTGAGGAAAAGCAGAGAGAGCAGAAGGTTAGAGATTGAACTAACAGATTCTGCAGAATAGGAGAACAGAGAGAGAATGAAGCAGAATGATGAAATGGGGGTCCCTATGTCCTCCAAAAGTCTAAGCCTATAGCAGCATAACTATAGAGATAGCTCAGGATAACCTGAGCTATCTCTAACTATAAGCTTTATCAAAAAGGAAAGTTTTAAGCCTAGCCTTAAAAGTAGACAGGGTGTCTGCCTCACGGACTAAAACTGGTAGTTGGTTCCACAGGAGAGGAGCCTGATAACTAAAAGATCTGCCTCCCATTCTACTTTTAGAAATTCTAGGAACCACTAGTAAACCTGCAGATTGAGAGCGAAGTGCTCTGTTAGGAACATAAGGAACAATCAGATCTCTGATATAAGATGGAGCTTGGCCATTTAAGGCTTTATATGTGAGAAGGAGGATTTTAAATTCTATTCTTGATTTAACAGGAAGCCAATGAAGAGAAGCCAGGATAGGCGAGATATGATCTCTCTTTTTCATTTTCATTAGAACTCTGGCTGCAGCATTTTGGATCAGCTGAAGGCTTTTAACTACAGTTTGTGGACTTCCTGATAGTAAAGAATTACAATAGTCCAGCCTTGAAGTAACAAATGCATGGACTAGTTTCTCAGCATCACCCCTGGACAGGATATTTCTAATTTTTGCAATGTTCCTCAGATGAAAGAAGGAAATTCTAGAAACCTCTTTGATGTGGGATTTAAATGACAGGTCCTGATCAAAAACAACACCAAGATTTTTGTCCATTAAATGTCCATTAAAGGTATGAAAGAGTATCTCTTTTCAAAAATTAAGTTTTCAGATTAATCTAAAATGAATTAATTGATGGCAACATTATTGCACTTATGCCCCCCTAATCCCCCCCTAATCCCCCACCACCAACAACAACAACAACAAAAAATCCATAAACTCTGGCTGGGGTGGGGCCTATAAAACATAAGCCAATCTACTTTGCCCATTGTCGAAAGTGGATTGGCATATTATTTGTCAATCAAACATCTTGCGTACGTGCCGCAATAATGTTACATAGCTTGTTTATTAGCTATTTCTTCACCATGAAGTAGTCCGCCATCAAACAAGACCCTTAGACAGAGACTTGTGTATCCTAAGGACAAAAACCCCAGACCAAATGTGAGCGGAGTGGTGTATGCAGTTCAATACAGTAAGGAATGCTCTGATCTTTACATTGGAGAAAACAAACAACCTCTCCACAAACGCATGGCCCAACACAGAAGAGCAACATGCTCGGGACAAGATTCTGCAGCACATCTACACCTTATGGACAAAGGACATTCTTTTGAGGACCAGAATGTTCACATTTTGGAAAAAGAAAATAGGTGATTTGAAGGAAGCCATATATGTTAAGAAAGAAAAAACAACCTTAAACAGAGAGGTTGGACTCAGGTCCCAGCTTTCAAAAACCTACAATGCTGCTATCATCGCAGCCCCAGCCTCTAAACAGGAGAGCCTCGCCTATTCCGGCAGGCCAAAAATGTCCTGAAACGATCCCCCTTTCAGACAATTAGACGGGTATGGGGCATTGCAGGCTAACAAAAGAGGCCAAACGACCCCTAATTCAGGGGGTGGAGCCCTTCGTCCATTTCAATTTCCATGTTTTCAAAGCAAAAACCAGGCTTTGTTGGGCTACTGTGTAAAACCTCAGACTCAACGCTATTCCTGACATTAGAACTGAGAAAGCTTCCTGGATGAGAAGCGAAATTTCTTCAAACTTGGATGCAAAGTCCAGTAGATTGTTGAATTTTCTTTTTTTACTTAGTCCGCCATTTGAAATCCCAAAATTAGTTGTAGCAGCAGCAGCGAGAACACACCAACAAAGTGTAAATATAACTTGCACTGATATTGCAGGCAGAGACCTCTTCTTCTTATGCAGATCCTGCAGACTAGGTGCATCCTGGCACTTTGCTGCCTCTCTAGGTGAAATAAAATTACCAATGTAGGTACCAGATCTGCTCGGGTCCTATGCATGCCAATGACGTGCGCTATATGATTGACTGACTGTGGCTAGCTGTGTTCAGTTAGCCATATTAGGCTACATAACTTTTAACTTTGGGTCAATGACAAGCGTTTGTTTTCTACAAGTAGAATAACTGTTGTTTTCTTGGTCTAAAATGTCTACGAAAGTCACTCTTTAGGATGTTCCATTTTTCCTTCCATGCCCCGAGGTCTTAAAAACAGAATAAAACTAAGCTGAGACTTTTGTCAATGAAATGTAAAATTATTGCAAATATGGGTTATAATATGTTGAGACTGGAAGAGATTTGATTCTTAAAAAATACAATACAGTTTGTCCAAGTGGTATTGCCATATGAAGACATCATAAGAAAGGGCAGGGCCCCGAGCAGATCTGGTACCTACACCGGCGGAGGCGTTTCCAGCATAGAGAACTTTTGCGAAGGAGGGGGGCCCAGACGTATGCACACAATTTAAAAATACACAAAAAAGCCGTTGCACATATCTTACATCACATAATATTCATCTTTCATGCCTTTAAGACCCTTAATAAAGTTATAGAAAATCAAATTTTTTAACCTTTTTTTCAGATTTGATAAAGTTTATTTAAATTGGTTGTCCTCCTGGTGTAGAAGCCTCGTCCATATGTTTTCCACAGCATCAAGGTCATGCCATCAATGAAGCACTTACCAGCTTTTTCCATTTATGCCCCAGCTTTGATTGAGTGTTTAGATCATTTTCCAGTTGAACTCTCAATGGTCTCCATGCTTTATCCATCAAGTTTTTGATTTGAAATAAAAACGAATAATGTTGATGTTCATAATTATCAGTTATCCCAGCCAATGTTTTCTCAAACCAAACCACTATCATTGAAACTAGAGATGCACTGATGTGATACCTGGATCGTATATCGTCTCCGATATTGACTAATTAGCTGAATCATTGTTTGGATATTGGAGATCCAATCCTGTACACTTTGCATGGAACTGATATTTATTTCTCTTTGCTGCTTATTTGTTAAATAATATAAAGTAAATTTGTATCTGCCTTCACTCACATGGCAGGATATATGGTACATCCATTCAAAACTTGAATCTGATCGGTATCGGATATCGGCCTAGCTGACAGATTGGATCTGAAAAAACTGGATTGGTGCATCTCTAATTGAAAAACACCAGCAGCATAATGCTGCCACCACCTTACTTGATAGTTGATACAGTTTTTCTGTTGTTTCACAGCCTCGCCATCACTCCTCTAAACATCAGAATTAGCTTTATTGGTCACATTTATGCAAACAAACAACCAATTTAACTTTGATTCCACATTGCTCTAAATGCAATGAATTTTTTAAAAATTCACATAGAATCATAAAAGCAAATTAATGATACCTTGTTGCTACTGGTTTTGTTGGGAATGAAAATGCTATTGGTAATTAATTCAGCTGCATCCAAAATCAGAAGATGGTTAAAAAAAAAAAAAACTTTCTGCGAAATGTAGCTCTGTGACTTAAGGATCATTAATCTAAATCTTTTTAGAATGGAGACTCTTCAGACGTCGGTATCTCTTGATTTTAAAATAGCATGCTCTAGATTAGTTCAGTACGTTTATAACCACTCCAGTCTAGAAAAGGAATTTTTAAACTGTTTCCTAAAAAAACCCAGATTAATATCATATTATCACCAATTCAATAAACCTCTAACCAGAACAGCCATTTCTGCAGATGGGGGCTGTCTAATTTATTATCCTTTCGACTCGGGAACTTATTTGATGATCGGTTCGGAAAGATTGAAACAACATTTTTTCCCCCCTAAATGATTAGGTTATTTCTTTAGGGGTCAGCTTTGTGTTGCTTTAATTTCTGCACAGTTCTGTGGGTTATTACCTCCGCTCTCTTCTATAGATCAGCAATCAGCTCTTGGGACTCTTATCAGGCCAGTGGATCAGCACATAGTAAACTAATCCATGTGTCAGTGGAGAGTTTGACTGACAGCCTGTCACTTTCTCTTTGTCATCTGCAGTGTGTGCTCAGATAGGATCTATAAGGCTTAGACCAGAGTGTTTTTGATCCAGCCAGGAGAAGCCAGATCACTCCAAAACTGCTGGCCAGTTGGAGCTCAGATAGCAACCCACAGAGTGTAACCAGCACAAGCTTGAAATCCACAGTGGAAACTTGAATAGTTCTCAAACAGCGGCTTGAAGAGAATGATCCACAAAGGCAGCTTGGTCACATTCATTTTTAAGCTTTTTAGCAACACTTTTTATTAGAAGACACACAGTTATAACAGGAGTTATGCTTTATTGTGTGATTTAAATGACTGCAGATGTTTTTTTCATATTTACTTCTGCATGGTCTGAAGTAGATTTTTATATTTACTCTATAAACTATAAATGTGTTTACCATATTTTTTTGTGTGCATTTTATATATGTAATATTCACCAACATGATTTTCACATTTTAGGTGAGCGCCCATACCAGTGTCCCTACTGCGACAAAGCATTCAGCAAGAACGATGGCCTGAAGATGCACATTCGGACCCATACTCGGGTACGTCTTTTCTCACCACTTATACTAACCCCCCTGTCTCCTTTGTATCATAGTCAATCGCTCAACACTACTGATAGCAAAGAGATTTTGTCACATTTGGTACAATTGTTGAATTGATTTACATTCAGTTGACTGATAGCAAGGGTGCACAACAAACAAATATTTATTAAAAAGCTTAGTGAAGGTGTTGCCTGCGACATAAGAACAGTAACAACCGGGTAGCTACAGAACCCCTTGTACAAGTTCCAGTTTAGATGTTAGATGAATTATCTAAAATTTAATGTTTCAAACTAGTTATTTTGTTGGAAAGAAGAGTTGAACTCATAGATGTGAAGGGCGCTTTATAGGGAAATTTCAAAGGGTGTTATTTGTTGACATGAAACCTTTTTACTTTTGCAACATTAAAGAGAAAGTATATTCATGGCAGAGATCAAGGTTGGTGTAATGGGCTTTATGCACAGCTCCACTACTTCCTGAATTTAAGGTAGCTCCTTTGTTTCCTGTCTTTCATTACTGGACGAACTGATTGATCCAGGTGTGTCTGGCCAGTTACTTAGGTCATACACACTTGGATTAATCAGTGCATCCAATCATGAAAGACAGGAAACAAAGGAGCCTCCTGAAGTTCAGAAAATGGTGGAGTTGTGCATAGAGCCTATTACCAAAACAATCACTTGGCCTAATATAATGAGAGTGCTTAATAAAATTCATTAAAAACACTTACATGGTGTAAGAAACATTGATTTATTAAAACTTAATGCTCAGGGCATTATTAACTTTTGGAATAACTTTTTTAAAAACTTTTTTACACATTCTATTAAACGTTGAACTTGTTAACATTTTATAACTTAGTTTACAGTAGGCAACATATCAATTCAATACAGTTTATTTATATATATATATATATATATAGGGCCAATTCACAACATGTCATCTCAAGGCACTTCACAGTTCACCAGATCATACAGTCAGATGGATTCAAAGTTTTCTGTCTAAGGAAAACCAGTTGATTGCATCGACTCATTGACTTGAAGGCAATCCCTCACACTAAGCATGCTTGTTGTGACAGTGGAGAGGAAAAACTTGCCCTTTACAGGAAGAAACCTCCAGCAGAACCAGGCTCAGTGTGAGCGGCCATCTGCCGAGGCCGACTGGGGTTCAAGGAGACAGAAGCAGAGATACAAATGGCAATAATGACACATCCTGAGCACCGTTGGACAACTGGTGTTATTCTATAACCTGGTTGCACTCAGGTTTGAGACATAGGTGGACCTTACAGACCACATTTGACCTGATTTAGGTTAAATTGGTGTTTATAGTTACCAAAAGTTGTAACTTGGACATGAAGGGTTAAAAATCTTAACTTTGCTTAATTATTTATTTGCAACATATTCCTTGGCCTAAAGATTTAAACCTTGATAAAGACAAAACAAGTTGTGAGACTTTCTTTACAGGAAAATTTACACATCTAAATAATGACGTTCCGGAAGCTGCAGCTTTTTCTCTACATTGATGCTCTCCCATGGGTCAGATGCTCTGTCATGGGTCAGCCTTTTAAAGATGTCTGACTTCCCATATACAGTTATGCTTATTGATAATTCAGTTCAAAACAAATGACAGAACTGTTTAAGGTGATGGTTTAATTATATTCTTACTTTCAGCTTAACTGTTTGAACATTATAAACTTCAAATGTTTCAGCTGCTCACTGTGGAGCTCATCTTACACTGAGACCTGTCTGTGGACATCTGAGCACAAAGAGTAGAAAGAGTCACCCTAAAACAGATAAAACTTAGCCACAGTTACCATTCTTTTTTACCAGAATAATCGTTTGAAGTTTGAAAAGCACTTACATAGTGTCATTAACAACAAAAAACATTTAATACATTGAGTTTTGGGAAAGTTTTCCATCGTCAGCTTGACGCTGACATTTGCAGCCTGTCAGGACAGTTCATTGAAGCGATTTGTTCTTCTTTTAATGCTGTCCAGAGTAAAGTACTTTGCTCTGCGCGTCGCAGTGTGTCAGCAGTGGAGATATCCCGCTCAGGTCGGGCTGACTCCGTAGAAACAGGCAGATGTAATTTTGTAGTGTGCTGCTGATTAAACTGACCGATGTTTTTGCCCTGAATATTCCCAGATCTGTCTTTGCTCACGTTGCTCTGAAATATGGGCTGAACAGTTACAAACAGCAGAGCCGGATGAAGTCACTGCATGTTGAGAAAAACTAATGTCATTTGGCTGAGGGAGCTGCAGCCCACCGTTAATGAACATGTGATTTCAGATGGATGAAGTTGGGGTTTCTTGTGTTTCATTCAGCAAACCACATCCCTGGAAAACTGCAATGGAACATGCCTGATGCAGATATCTGGCCTCTGGTTGTTTTTTATTGTTTAAACTTTTAAAGTTGAATGGATGTTCTCTAATCAGATGTTATGAGTTTTAAAAAGTTGTTTTAGAATTGAGATTTTTGATAGTTTGTGGAGTTAAACAACTATAAACAACATTTTAAATGGAATCATATTAAAGTTGCTTTTTTAATATTCTTTTAAATGCTGATCAATTTTTTTATGGATGGATTCTGACCTTTGTTAAACTCTGACTAGATATTTATTTATCTTTAATCATCAATAAAAACAAGCCCACCTTTGCATTTTATAAATAAACATTAAACGGTATAAATAAAATCAGTGCAAGCTTACAGAGTTTTTAAAGGCATCTCTTAATGTAATGTGAACCACACTGTACAATTTCTGTCTAGCTAAAAAGTTGATATAAGGGTCAGAATTACTGTTAAGTGATAGATTGGGAAGTCCTCAGTTTTTGTTGTTGCACAATAAATAATCCCACAAATCATTGTGATATAAAAACAATATTGTCATTCAAATTGAATCAAATTTGGAAATGAGGACAGTAAACAAGAATGCAAATGTAATTAAGTGAGCTCACATACATTTATTATGTGATTCATTTGTTTATTGATTATTTTCACAGTTCTTCCTATTAACTGTCCCTTAGCTTCCTTTTTCCTGTTAAAGTCCAGCTCCTTGTGGAGGCAGCCTGAGGGAACAGTTCCATAGGTCTCTGTTGGAAATATTTTCTTATTGTCAGGACTCAGAACTGTGGACCCAGAATTTCAAGCAGATAGACATATGTGACTCACAAAGGCCTTTCGCTGGCTGGAATCTCTGCAGAGGGGTAAACTCAGTTTAGTGACCAAGTAAATCCGACAGAGGAAGATTACGAGGGTGTGAGTCACTAACCTTGTTTTAAAGCTCAGTCCGTGCCCAGAAGAAGAAGTGGAATGCACACGGTGAACGTCGTCCAGCGAGTTCCAGGAGCCAAAGCCAAGAAGGCTGCTGAACTGGCTGACGAGCAGAAGCAAGCAGATGAAGGAAGGCAGGAGTTCCCAGAAGGTGAAGCCAAAGTCGATGTGGAAGAGGTTCACAGGAGTCCAGGCCAGAAGATCAGAAATTGAAGAGGTCCCGAAGCGAAATCCAAATCTGGGTCAGGAGATAGATTCAGAGTCGTAAGCAGGCAGAATCCAGCAGGAGTCCGAAGACAGGTCAGGCAAACAGATCAGAACATAAACAAGCAGGTTCAGAGGTCCAAAGGGCAGAACTAGTCAGGATTAGGCAATCAGAACAACAAACATGGTACTCTAGACAACTCTCACCAAAGGCTTGGATAATCTGCAACTGATGACTGGGGGCAAGCAGCTTAAACAGAGGCAGGAGCAGGTGGATAAGGTGAAGAGTAATAAGAAACTGGGCGGAGCTAAGCAGGTGAATAAAATTAACCATTAAGCAAGTCATCAGTGGCAAGACCATGACACCTAAAGCTTTATTGCTTCAAATACCTCTTAATATTTGTCCCCTAGGACCCCCCTGGGAGTTTTTGATTTCAGCAAATCACAGTAAAAATTACAGTATCTTAAGTAAGAGATGCAAAAGAAGCCACAGTTCATTTTGGTTGTATTACTCTAGCTGGTCCTCTTTCGAAGAGGAAATTGTGGATTCTGACAAACAGATGTAATGGTAGCAGCTACACCTGTCTCCTCCTGTGCTGCCATGTTTGTTTTGGTTCTTTCGTGGCTGTATAATCCGTTGTGTACCATGATAGTGCTATGGTACTAGCCAGCTCGTGCTGGGACGTTTCTTGAACAGTTTAAGCATTTGCGGGACAAGATGGATTGTGTTTGTAAATACAGAAATGTTGCAAGAATTCATCTTACAATTGTTATTATGGAAGTATATTTTTAAATATACATAACTATCTACAAATAAATGAAACCATGTTTTTTGACTAATCTTCTGGTATGAACAACCAAAAAGCTCTGTTGTGCTCTAAACCCTGTGAATCTTATTGCATATCTTGTGCAATGCTAACAATCTGCAGTTCAAATTCATTTAAAAGATACTTTATTAAACCTTGAAGGGAAACTAAATGTTGCAGTAACTCATAGGTTTTTTTTTTTCACCATTTGCATTTTTCATTCATGCACGTGCATGTCATTCCCAATTAACTGTAAACAAGTTCTTTCATCTGCATCTTTTCCTCTGCAAAGCGCTCTCTCACATTCCTGGATTTAAACCAACATGTTGCGAATATTGGGGCTGGATTCCCTGCTTGTTTTCCATAAAAATCGTAAGTCTCTATGCGCGAATGTGTATTGAGAAAATATTCCATTCAAAAATTATTTTGAATGGAATAGTTTAATTAGTCATTGTTTGATTTTTATCTTGGTGATATAGTTTTTTCTTTTCTTTCCACTGTGCTACCAGGAGAAAAAAAAATCCCATAGATCACTCCGACCAAGCAGCCTTTCTCCTACAATAACATGGTGATCAATCCTGCAGGGTCCCTGACAGGCTGACACCGCCTTAAGCCATTCTGCCAGCTTGCCTAAAAAAATCCCTCAGTGTGAGCGTGGTTGTTGGTTGCTTACTGACCTGAAGGTTGGTGGTGTAGAGCAGCTTCCTGCTCGCATGCTGCGTTACAAATACCTGCATATTTAATGTGTCATATGAGAAGATCTCCTGCTTTGGACTGAACAAACAAGACTCCATCCCCACATCTCTGGATGGGCTCTTTGTAGAAACTGGTCGGATTCAGAGGAGAGGTCGGGTCAGGGGTCAGAGGCGGAACAGCTGCCAAAGGCTGAAGGTCACCAGGTACAGATGTTTGATGTTACCAGGGTCACACTGGTGCATTGTGGGTCTTACTTCATTCATATGTTCCTTGAACTTTTGAAAGTTTTGTTTTTATGGAGGAGAACATGATTGTGGTCAAAGCTCTGGATTTTTGTGGGAATCTGCATGAAACTGATCAGAACAGAATCTGTTTCCGTGGGGTGGGCTTTTCTCTCACACACAGGGGGCTTTATTTCCATTGTTCCCCTTCACTCTGTCACATGCGGCCAAACAGTCGCATCCTTAAAGCTGCTCACAGGCACACATGCAGTGAACCTGATCTTTACCTCCTTTTGTCTCCTGTGTCACTGGGCACTCCTTGCCCGGCCCACATGATAGCGCCTTTCCCAGGACCCTTGCTTCCTGCATTCACCCCGTTCCCAAGACAACTAAGCCTAAAATGGGTAGAGCCTCTGCTATCAGCCAGACTTGTCAAAAGCAGCTTCCCAAAAGCTGCAGCAGTGGGAACCGACTGCTCGCTATCTCTTTCTCATTTCTTCTTTAAAGTCTTTGAAGTGTCAGCACTGTTTCCCCTCAGAACGAGCCGCACACGCCTACCATCCGCCCTCCTCATCACACATACTGTACACACACACACTCACACATGCATGCTTGTGACAACGCACCCACAGCAAGATAGCCGCTTTGGCTGACTAAGAAGGGCCTCCGAAAGCGGCAGAGGAAATGTTCTTTGGTAAACTGATGAGGTGTGGAGACAGAGGATTGATATGCTACAGCCCTACAGTGCCAGCGCACTGATTCGTGTTCAAAGGGATTTTCTGCTCCTTGTTTTCTTTACTCTTTTTAGGAATGCATGTGTTTTTGATGGCCCCCGTGTTGGCCATTTCCTCCCTGCTGCAGAAGCTTCTCAGCCTTTCTTCTCATATCGTCACCAGAACACAGTGGAGAGTGTGAAAGTGAACCTGGGATACTTCCACATCTTTCCTGCATGCCCGTTAGTTTTTCTCCACGTGTATTTTCCAACATGTGCGTGTCATTACGTGTTTGTTTTCTATTCCCCAGGTTTTGTCCATATGCAATGAAAACTGCCCACGCTTTGCCATAAAATATGCCCTCTTTACATGTGTGTCTCTGCAGGAGAAGCCGTACAAATGCAGCGAGTGCAACAAGGCCTTCAGCCAGAAACGAGGACTGGACGAGCACATGAGGACGCACACGGGAGAGAAACCCTTCCAGTGTGACGTGAGAAGCAGACCGCCTTTCCTTGATTCCTGCCTGTTTTTGTCTCTGTGTTTAAATTTGATGGACCTCTGGCACGAGGCCAGATGTGGAGCTCGGCTAGAGCCAGATAGGGATCTTTCTTCTCCGGAGGGGCAGAGTGGGCCGATCTCACGTAAACACTTTGAGAGGATCAGAGGGATAAATTACTCTCAGCTTATAATACTGCAGAAGTAATAATTATTAACAGAGAAGGGAGTAAAGACACACAAGAGAACTTCCTGTTGGTTTTTAACCTACGGATACTAAACTTTTTCACAGTTGTTTCAAATTTCAGACCTCTTTTTAAACTCTGAAAGAAAAAAACAATATTCAATAATCAGGTGGAGTTTTACCAAAATTCAGACTTTTAATGAGTTGATGAAACATAAGCAAAGATTTCTGGATGAAATTTCAGGATAATTTACAATTATGACCTCTGATACAGTTATTGACTACTGGTGAGGTAATGTCGCTGAGGTTTTTACAGCGATTTCTATTTCTCATCAACCCGGTCGTAAACTGCTTATGCTTGGAGTCATAATGGAGTCGATTCTGAACGCACATGTTTTTTATAGTTAGTGTGACTAACAGTTTCCAAAGATTCTGTTATCTCTGATATAGATCATGGGTGAATTTTAGGTTTTTCTTTGAAATCTTCCCTAAACTCCAAAAGATTATTTTCTTTAGTAGAGTAGCTTTTCATGGCTAACAAGCTGAACTTGGCAGACATGTGCAGCTAAGAGCTATATTTCCATTACCCTAATTGTTAATGTTCTGTTCCTTAAATACAAGATAAAATGCCCCAAAAAACAATGTGACCAAAAATTGTTTACCTCCGTGAACAGCTGGATTACTGGTAAACCATCAGATTGTTTGGATTCGATCTGAAATGGAGAAATCAATGTTTACTTCTTTCCACCTCATACCTTTCCAAACCTCAGTATGGTATAGTTTTGAGTGTGGACTTTTCCTTTAGACTCTTATCTTTATTTCTTTCCACTCTTCACTGCACTATTTTTGATTCCACTATCAAGTTCCACTTTTTTATCCCTCAGATATTTTATTTTTTTTGCACTCAGAGTCTCTATGAGGTGAAAAAAGCTTTTTTTTGTCACTTAAAGTTCAGTTTTCTTTATTCCCTTTCTTTTTTTTTGTTATTTAACAATAATCATTATTTGCTGCAGAACTTCTAAACAGGGTCAAGGACCTTCACATATTTCTATTTCTCCCAGGTATTTCCAACCTCAACCCTGTAAAAAATTCAAGTTCAATTGTTAGATGTATTAAATGAAATAATTAATTACACCGTGCTCCAGTTTCTGCACCTCAAGCTAACTGAGTGTGTGCTGTTAAACTACAACAATTTCTGCATGGGTTGCATTGGAACGGTCTGTGAACCGGGGGGAAGGTAGGTGCATCAATCCAACCTATTCTCATTATGAGTGAGTGTGAAATTGTACGAAAAGTTATGCACCGTAATTTCGTACGTTTTGGACGTCGTAAAACAGCAAGCAACGTAGTTAGAGACATGAATAAGTGATGATTGCACTGTTTTTCCCATTTTTATGTCCGTCCGCGGATCTGCTTTTTTTTTCTGTCTGCCAGCGCATGCGCACTGATGTTGGTTTTCGTACGGTTTCATAATGAGAATATGTTGATCAATTGCATTCAAATAGGTACCACCAAAACAAGTGAATCTCAGATGCTCCTGAGGACTGTGGAAAAAGAAGGACATGATGACCAACAATTAAAAGGAATTCAGACCAAAGCATTGGAGTTCAGATTTGAATGTTTTAAATGTCAAAGGGAGGATTTTAAATAGCGTGCAATATATTAGAGGGAATGGGTTTGGTGTGACAGACTTGGACAGAGATCAATACGTATGAACACTTTTGCTGGTGGTGGAGGCTGAGCTGCAGTTCACTGACAAATAAAGATGGTAAATAGATACTGTTATGAGATTTTGGCCATATGAATAACTGTAAAGCTTAAAGTAGCTCTTAATTAGGCAAGACGATTCAAAGTTCTGTACATAAGAAAAATAAAAGTATATTGCAATTGCACAAAGGTAGCAGGAATAATTATAAAGAGCTAAAGTGAATAATTAAAATAAAATGTATATAGAAATTAATGATAATAGAGCAGATAAAAAATTAAAGGAAAGTTGGACTGACAGCCTAACTAGAAGTGTTTTTATAGCCCAACCTAAGGCCACACTAAACAAATAGGTTTTCAATCCATATTTAAAGCAACTTTAGGGTTCCACTGCTTTTATAGTTTTCTTTCCAGAATAATTGAGCATAAGAACTAAAGCTGCTTCTTTATGTCTGAGTCTGGATATGCAGAATGGATTTTGTCCTCTCAGCTCTTCTGAGAGACCTGAGAGGTCCGAGAGGGTGATCCACAGCAAGTCTTTAATGTAGCCTCTTTAGGGGCTAAGCATTCCATGATTTATAGACTACCGTATTTTCACGACCATAAGGCGCACCGGACTAAAAGGCGCACTCTCAGTTATGTGTCCCATTTCTGTATTTAACACACACATAAGGCGCACCGGACTATAGGGCGCGTTTTTTATATACAGGTACAAGTCCTCTACTACCTTTAAATAGCTCTACTGCGTATTTAAAAATACAGCGGGGGCAAAACTGAGTATGACTGTGCTTTATTCATGTATTTATTACAAAGTATTAATCAAACCTGGCAGCTGGCCGTGAGACAGAGACATCGCAGATGACACAGCGCTGTGGTCACTCCTAAATTAACTTAAAATCCTGAAACTTGCCGACGGAATATGTTCGCTTTTATTGCTGGTATCCTGGTGCCTGCAGCTAAAATTATTTAGATGAAAAACACCTGCCAGCAGCCGCGGTGAACGAAAGGATTTCTCCTGTCGGTGCACCGCTGGTATGTGGGGGTCTGAGCGCCTCCGACAGAAATAGATAATCTGGATGAACTGACTGCAATTATTAAGTTTTCAGGTGGCCTTTCTCACTTAAAAACATATTAAAACTACTTTATTCCAACTGATCACAGCAAATATAGCTGCAAGATTTAGATTATTTAGATGAAAAAACACCTGCCAGCCACCGCACTGAAGAGGAGGAGGAGACCAGAGGCTGCTGTTGAATTAAGTTTTCAGGTAGAAAAATAGAGCGGGAGCAAACCTGAGTATGATTGTGCTTTATTCATGTATTTATTACAAAGTATTAATCAAACCCATCAAAGTCATCATCCTCTGTTATCCTCAGCATTCCTCTGAATAAAACAGCTGCGCTAAATCAGACATGCCAGTTTCCCCTTTTTCTGCGCTGTCAGTCACTTTCCGTGCAGCGCAGCTCCTCAGAAATAATGCCGGCTTTTGCAAAAGCTTGAACAACAGAGCCAGCAGACACGTTAGTCCAAGCATCTACAATCCATCCGCAAACGGTGGCGTAACTTGCACGGCGCTGCCTTCCATTTATCATGAAACTGTGGTCTCATCCATCGCTCCCACGCCGCTCGCAGCCTTACTGTGAACGGCCGCTCCACACCGATGTCAAGCGGTTGAAGTTCCTTTGTCAGACCCCCGGGATAACGGCGAGCACAGCGTTCATTTGATTCATCTTTTTTTCACATCGGCTGTGAGATGGGCACGCAGCGATGGTGATGCGTGGAAAAAAGCACCTGGTCTCCTCACATATACCTGCCTTTCATCATCTCCTTATTCATCCAGCCTTTTTCATTTGCGTTAATATCATGTCATCAGAGCGCTGTCTGTCTCCCAGCCAGCTCCCAGATCAGCTTCTCTGATTGGTTGATGCGGCGCGTCCAGCAGCAAAACTTCAATTTTTCCATCTGAGCTGCAGCAGCGCGTTGGCGGTGCGTCAGATGCTTAAACGCTCCCGACGTGCTGCACCAAAACGCGCTGCAGGACCTTTTGCTGCACCTATATGCGCGTCAACCATTGACTTTGCATGTAAACTCGCTGCTTCTGCTGCACCTGCTGGGTCCGGCGATGTCGAGCGGTTGAACAGCGAGCACAGCGTTAATTTGTTTCCCCATGTTTTTCACATCAGCTGTGAGATGGGCACGCATGGAGTTACAGATTAATGGTGATGAGTGGGAAAAAAACAGCTGGTCTCCTTACATTCAGCCACTCTTTCATCATCTCCTCAATGAGGAGGTCTCAAAAGTCGCAGTTACAACACACATAAGGCGCACCGCACCATAGGGCGCACCGCACATTTTGAGGAAAAAAAAAAGACGTTTAAGTGCGCCTTATAGTCGTGAAAATACGGTAACAGAAGTATTTTAAAGTCTATTCTCTGAGATATGAGAAGTCAGTGGAAGGACATAAAAACTTAGGTGATGTGCTCCACTTTCTTAGTTTCAGTGAGGACGTAGGCAGCAGCATTCTGGATCAGCTGCAGCTGTCCGATCACTTTACTCTAAAGGTCCAGGATTAACTGGCGGTGTGCTGACTTTTGAACGCTCTTTCCAAACATAGTTTCTTCAGTTTTTTTTTTATTCAGCTGTGTAGTAACCAAACTTCTAAGTTAGGCTAAGAGGATCTTAAGTAGAGAAGGTGGCTGTAACAGCAAGAGCTGTTTGGCAGATGCTCAGCTTGAATAATGACATAAATTAAAAACTTCTTTAACTATCATTCAATTAAATATATGGAGATAAGATCAACTTTATCCTCCTTATACAGAGAGAGATTCAGTTTAGCAGTTGGACAGGTTCACGACGCACCTGTATACCCCCAATATAGTGTGCATAGAAGGAAGATGTAAAAGGGAAAGATTTTATGTTGGCCATTTTGCAAAATAGAACTGCTTTATACAAGCAGGCCATCACAATAAAATAGTGACAGTTGGTGTCTATGTTGATATCAAAAAGATGAAGTCGTGAAACTATCATTTATGTCGGGATAACATAACAATCAGAAAGCTAAAATTGGAGGAATTAAACAAGGTATTTCTTATCTCAATAATTGGTTT